GACCGTAGATGAGCTTAGAACAAAGAGCAAAATAGGACCCGGGAATTTGTATTTGCATTTCTCTCATAACTAAATTCTCTGCCCTCTACTTCAGAATATCCTCAACTCAGCTGTAGGTCTGTTCCCCTGTGAGTAAAGAGGTCTATCAAATGTGCTAATCCTACTGAAATTGTCTTACTAGAACTCTGGAAATAAGAACTAGTTACACTTTGCCATAATCCAGCCATTAAGGAACCACTGATGTAAATGCTTTTAATTTGGACAAAACCCCCAGTAATTTTGCAATGTAAACTTAAGAATTCGGAGCAAGAATTCTTTTATACAGTTCAAGAACAACAGTTAAAGATGAAGTAGCACATGAATTTAGAGGCTACTAAATTCACAGAGAGGCTACTAGCTAGTGTCTCACCGAAAAACACATAGATAGAGACTGATATTCGTTATTTAGTACCTCTTTGCTTGTAGTTTTTAGTGTGGATTACAATGATGAACTTGATGTTCTGGTCAGTGGCTCTGCAGACTTCACTGTGAAAGTATGGGCCTTATCAACAGGAACGTGCCTGAATACCCTTACTGGACACACGGAATGGGTCACTAAGGTGGGAATATTGATTTCTAATTAATCTCGCAAACACTTGCACTAAATTTGTAATGTGTTCTAAATTTTGTTTTCCTAATCCTAACCCTGCGACTAGTTGTAGAATCTGGAGAACATTTGGAAATAATGCAAAATAATATTTCAATAGGAAAAATATGTAAGCTATAATTAAACTTTTCAGACCATTGAAGATATTTCTATTCCAAAGCAGCTGGAATAACATTAGGAATCAGTGTTTGATTCAAAGACTGAATGGTCCTGAAAGAATTGTTCTGAAAGAATGCTACTTTAAGAAGGATGTAAAAAAATCTATGATCTTGATAACAAAATTCTAAGCATGAAACGGTATTTTTCTTCTGATTATTTCAGAACTTGGAAGATAGGGGGTGACTCTACAGGTGAAGGCTGTATGTGTGCTTATTAATAGAGTAAGTCACTAGCAGGAACACGAAAAGCATAAACTAGTTTTCCTTCAGTTACTAAAAGTATTTGTGTTGCCTTTATACAAGGATACAGTATGCAGGTGGTTAGTGAAGTGAAAAATGCAAATGAAAGTTTTGTTATTTACCAGCATCAACATAAATTATTATATCCTTCAATTACAGGTACTTTTGCAGAAGTGCAAAGTCAAATCTCTTATGCATAGTCCTGGGGATCATATTCTCCTAAGTGCAGATAAGTATGAAATCAAGGTATGTACCGTATATCACACACATATCATTTCGGTACACAGGGAAAGTGTGAAACACTGTAACACTGTTAGATTTCTGTCCCGATTGGATTTTTTTGCTTGGTTGTTTTTTGTTTTTGGTTTTTTTGGGGGGTTTTTTTGGTTGGTTTTTTTGTTTGTTTGTTTGTGGGGGTTTTTTTTGTTTTTTTGGGTTTTTTGGGGTTTTTTTGTTGTTGTTTTTTTGTTTGTTTTTTGTTTTGGTTTGGGTTTTGTTTGTTTGTTTGGGTTTTTTGTTTGTTTTTTGTTTGGTTGGTTTTTTGTTTTGTTTTGTTTTGGCCATTCTGTAAAGCACCCATTTCACTGGGGTTTTTTAGGCTAGAAACAACATATACTGCGGCAATACCTTTAGACAAGTGACTTGGAGAATTGATGCTCCTACCTAAGTAGATAAGTATTTCTGAAAAAACATTCACACATTTACCTGATGCCTGGAGAAACTGTGAGGCTTGCTGTATTAGTGTAACAGTTTATAATCTGAACTTTTTATGGTCTTAAACTGTGTGTTTTAATCGTAGATTTGGCCCATTGGAAGGGAAATAAACTGCAAGTGCTTAAAAACACTGTCTGTTTCTGAAGACCGCAGCATTTCCCTACAGCCCAGACTGCACTTTGATGGTAAATACATAGTGTGCAGTTCAGCACTAGGACTGTACCAGTGGGACTTTGCCAGCTATGATATTCTCAGGTAAACCTTTCAGTTTAGGATTCAGTGTTCTTTAAATAAATAAGAAGTAGAACATACTAGTTTTAATGTCTTACTTTAGATGTGGACCAAAAGAATCTTGATAAAAATTCTGTAAACATCTTACTTCATGTATATGGTCAGGCTGAATTCTAATTTCTTATCTGATAATAGAAATCATTTGATTACTCTTTTGGTTTCTGGCCACGTGCTGCTCCTCTTTCACATTTTTTTTCTCTAAGCTGAGGTGTTTCAATATAGACAAATCAGACTTCAGTGATGGGAATTGTGAATGGGAAACTGTAATGACCCAAAGCTAATGTTGCCATAGAGACTGCTGTAAGAGAACCAAGCAGACATTTCTGGGGGTCCTTTGATCAGACAAGAAATTAAAAAGACTTTTTCCTTACAGCACTACTGATCTGTCATTCTTGATAATGCTGTGGAGTGGTAGTGAAATCTATCAGACTGCAGGAAGGGATCAAACATGATGGCATTCTGTTTCCATAAAAAGAATGAGGCTGTATCAGTTAGAAATGGTGGCATCAAAGATTGTAACTTACTAAAAAAAAAATGCATTTCAGAACTGGTAGCAGTTAACTCTTAATTCAAATGGCCTGAATATTTGGGGAGTATCTACCATTGAAAGATCTACTCCTAAAGAAATGCTTCTTATCAGCAAGAATAACTTACTATCAGTAAGAATAATTCACCTCCTAATTTACCCTCCCATCTTGCAAAAGAGAAGGACGTTCTCTTACTGGTGAGAAGAGATTTTCATCTCCATACATTTTTGTGCCTCAGTTCTGTGCTTTATGTAATGCTATGATCAAATGTACAGCCAGTTCTGGAAACCTCAACTCTTTAATTTCTTTTCCAAGTTTTATTTAATAAGGGAAAAAATCGTAAAGATGTTGAGGAACTAACAAATATTTTTTTTTTTTGCTCCCCAAGATGAAAATGCTTAACTTAGCATAAAGCTATATCAGTGAAACAGCATTCTGTTAAGGAACAATCTTGGATGAACTATCTTACCTGCCTATCACAACAAGGCATTTCTGTATTTTACTTCTACCTTTTAAAAGAGTGGTCAAAAGATTAGTAAGAGGTTTTACCTCTTAAAGATATTGAGACATGAAATCCATATGGAAATTTATTGTAAAACATGAGTATATTTGTTCTTCTGTGTGTATCTGGAAACAAGGCTTTTTTTCCCTTGTGCTCTGCAAAACAGTCCCTTTTAAACCCTAACTTTTATTTATGTTCAGAAGGGTCTGTCCTGAATGCACAAAGTCAGAACTGAAACCACAGGCCTGACTGCAGCTAAGTGTTCAGTTGCTTTATTTGAAAAATTTGCATCCAGTTCTTGCTAAATTCTTTCGGAAGGGTGAGTATAGACACCTAAGGATTTGGTTTAGTAATTAAAGCTCGTGACTACATTGTAAGTGAGTTTCTAACACTGTTTTCTTGTCTTCTAGGGTTATCAAACCTCCAGACTTCTTAAATGTGTCCTTGCTGGGCTTTGGAGAGATATTTGCTCTACTATTTGATAACAGATACCTTTATATAATGGACTTGAGGACAGAAAAACTGATAAGCCGCTGGCCACTACCAGAATACAGAAAGTCAAAGAGAGGTTCAAGTTTTTTGGCTGGTGAAATATCTTGGTTAAATGGACTAAATGGCCAAAATGATACGGGCTTGGTTTTTGCCACCAGTATGCCAGACCATAGTATCCATTTGGTGTTATGGAAAGAACATGTCTGAAAAGCTCACATATGCAGAATCTTCAGGAATATATGGACTATCAGCAGTGTGTCCATAAAATGAGACTTTGCATGAACCAAAGTTGCACACCCAATGGTATCATCATGCAGTGCACAATCATTTACTTTTATTTGGGCATTTGGGAATGGGTTGTTTTGGACATAATGCAATAGAGCATGCTAACAGTATTCACCACAACATTTTGTCTATACTCATGTTTAAATATACCTATTTGGGTTCTGAAGCATAGCTTGTAATGTTTAAACCATTCAAGCCTGCTATCAGGTCTGAAATGAAGTAATGCTTGACCTGACTTCTGACCTATTTTTTTGTTGTTGAAACAGAAGGTGAAACTACTATTTTAGAATCATAGGCTTTTATACATGTAACAGCAAATACTGGTTACAGTGCATGGCTACTTAACAAAAATGAGGAGATAGCAAACCCTTTCTCTCTCCAGAATCTTTCTCTAAAATGTTTTTCTTTCTGGTAGCTTTAAATACTTAGCCTTTGAAACAGAAGAATCAAAAAAGCTCTTTAACTAGGATCCGATGTTAAAAATACTAAGTTCAGGAACATGTCAATACGATCTCTCCTCAGCAAGAATGAGGCAACTTTTCATCTCTGACAGAGCTTGCCAATTGCAGTTAACCACAGAGAACCTCTGACTGTTCAGCATAACTCAGAATGCCTTGATCAGTATTTTATAGTCCTTATTTCCTATAGTTTGTGTTAGAACACAGTTCACAGGTAGGTAGAAATATAATGAAGAGGAAGGTGATGTTTAATCTCTACAAGAAGTCACTTTCTTACATTAAATGATGTCTACCAGCCATTCACTTTTTCCAGAAGTTGCAGTTAATATAATGCACTTAAAGTACTTGCTACATCTAGAGTTGGAAAGCAGAGGCAAATGACAGAATTCCACATCTCTGGGGGAAAAAAAAATAAAATCAAAAGTCTGCCAGAAAGCACAGGAGTTGAAAAAAGGTCTTATTGATCATCACAGACCTGATGTACACAGGGAAACTGTTGAGTAGCAAATACTTGTCCACATACTTTTGTGCTTTTTAACATGTACTTAAAAGCTGTATCTATGACATCACATGCTTTAGAAACGCTTTAGGTTGGTTTCCCCTCCTCCCTTAAAATAAAATCTCCCCTTAATGTCTTTTTTTTTTTTTTTTTTACACAACGTGAAAACAGGAGTTTTCATGAAGATTGGCTCATGTCCTTGAAAAGACAAAACTGTTAGCATTACTATTGTTAATATGTTTTTTTTCTTACCACTCTCCAAGGAGACCCAATTGTATACTTAGTACTGAATGAAGGCCAGGGTTCCCCAGTGTCTGCAGTATTAATTGCACCAGTAAGAGTTTGCATGTGCAAGAATCAATATTTGATGCAATAGGAATTGCATGAAGTCACAGTGGAGCAGTGTCTCTTAAATTCAAGAACAGTCTTAAGCACTTAGTTTTCTACCTTTATTCATAGCAATTTACTTTGACAAATGTTTTTGTAGTCAAGGATTTAAAAAAACTGAACCCAAATTCACAACTCTGAAGTCAAACTGCACTCAAAAGTGAAGGAAGCTTACATGAAGTAGAAAGCTTTCAATTACTTGTCTTGACACCAAGTTTTCATCGTTCTTAATGTGGGAGTAACTACACTGTGTATGATGTGTGTGGTAACTCGGCTTCCTCTGAAGGAGCCACCTATAAAACAATGTGTTAACTTTGAAAGATTAAATAGGAGCATGCCAGAAATGTCATTGTACCCAGACCAGCGAAACAGGAAAATGTGGGTAACTGTGGGAAACTGCAAACTCTGTCAGGTAACTACTTCGTTAGTGACCTTGATGATGAAGAATCCACAGAGAGATGAAGCACAAGATGGCTGAGAAACTGAAAGTGAACCTCAGCCTTCCAGAAAGAACGGTGGGGAAAGGGAAGGTGGTGGTGGGCAAGGGGAGGGAAGGCCCTGCTACTGTCTCCAGCTAACTAATAAGGAACTGTGAAGAAGACAAACTCAGACTCGTACAGCAAGACAAAGGCCAATTGTTACAAACCACAACAAGAGAAATTCTCTTGTTACAGCTTAGTTTAAGCCTGGAACAGGTTGCCCAGAGAGACTGTGTGTCCAGCCAGCCTAGACAAAGTCCTGAGCAAACCATGCTATGAATTGGACTTCCAGATGCCCCTTGCAAACTACATGAGTCTAAAATTCTAAGTGGACCTGTTGCCAAGCAAGACAGTACCCCTTGCAGCAGGCACCTGGGCTGTAAATACAGCTGCCAGTTTGTTGGTAGAAACTTTGGGAGACACTGCAGCAGCTCTGAAGCAAATGCTATAGTTAGCCAAAAGCTGTGAAGCGATTGTTGAAAAGGAATACTTCCACAAGTATTTCACAAGTTGCAGATAAGTTTAGATCAGAATTCTAATTCAGAACTCTAAATTCTGCTTTTCTACATTGCCCTAGAGTATGCAAGCAGAAACTATGATGACAAGCATCCAGTACACACTACACTGCTCTTCTACCCTTTTAATTTTACAAATTAAGTTTTAACCAGTAAAATAGCAGCTAGTAATTATGAACACAATTAGCAAATAGTTATTTACAGATTGAAGACCTCTAAGTAAAGTTCCTGTTGGACATCTGCTAGCAAATAATACTAACGTACTACTGACAGAGCTCCTTAAGGGTATGTGCCACCACAAAACAGATCAAGGGATGAAAGAGTGACACTGGTGTAGAAATTTAAAAAAGCAAACCTGCTCACACACACACTTGCCTCTGTCAACGACCAGTGTCAGACTGCCCTCAGATGTGCCTTCATATGTTCTAGTACAATGCCACAACAGTGCAACACATACAGCTTTGGAGACTTATCAAATAGAAAATACATGACTGAAACTGTGGAAGTACAGTGAGGTTTTTTTTGTTTGCTTTGCTTTCCATCTGACCCTTCAGCAGAATTTAGTAACTACTTGGCACTATTTCTAGATAAAGGTTGGAAAAGATGCAGCTTCTGTACTCTTACACAAGGAAGCAATATAATTCAACTTACCCACCACATAAAGGACTAAAATGCAACTCATGCCTAAATTTCATTAAGAAGCACTTTCTTAGGAGGCTTCAAGGTCCCAGAAAAACCCAACAAACGAATATGTTTCATAAATAGTTGTTCAGCCATCCATTTTTTCCTCCTCGAAATAGCTTTTCAGTTCACAAAAGTCTCTTTAACATCAATCTGTATCCCTTGCCTCTGTTTTAAACCTTTCCAACACAATTCAGCACTTACCGCTGAAGTAATTCAGAACAGCGATGGGTAATAAGTGATCACTCTTCTTAAACTTACATGTCTCAAAAACCCAGTTGAACATACAGTAGGATCAGCAAAACTCCCAACAGCTGTTTAGTTTAAGAAACATAGTTTTAATACTAATGACTATAGCTGTATTTCTAGTACAGTTGAAAACTGATTTGCATTATTTGAATCAGTTGAAAAATACTGATTTTTTTAAAATGAAAACATTTTACATTTTACAGTAGTGCAATCTACATTGAACTTTCATATCATTAAATGACTCTTGGCTCTGCAATAAATTCCCTAAATAATCACTGCAAAATGTAACCTTGATGTGGAAATCATTTTAATGTGATCTTTAATCAGTCTCCTCTGCCTCCCCCCAGTAAGGGTGGCTCTCCACTTTCCCTCCTTCAAACTGAGGTTTAACTTCACTTTTGAACTTACAGTATGGTTTGAGATAGCACCTTGTTAACATTCATGATTAATGATGAGTTGTATCTCCACAGGATTGTATCCCTGACAAGGGATTCTCTGGGAAGGTCTCTTTGAAGGGGCTTCCGACAGTGATAAATGAGGGCAACATCCATGGGAACATTCACACTGTCCCCATAGGCATGTAGGACAGAGTGGACTGAAGTCTGAATCACTTTTTGTGGATCAACTATCATCTTCCTGGGATTGATTACATCTTTCCTGTCAGGCTCTCTGTGAACATGCTGTAATATGTTAACACCTGGCACAGTATTCCAGGACGAGATGTTGAACATGTGAGTAGAGATGGTTTCTGGGAAGATGTGGTTCTCAAAGAGGAAAATGCCAGTCCCTGGGTTTTGTTCCTGAAGGCTGCTCATCATTGTTTTCCAGTTTGGATGCTTAAGGGGAAGAATTATTTCATCAGCATCATTAAGAACCACAAACTTGCTCCTTTGCATGTTACGGTATATACAGTCATTTAGAGCTGTGATTTGTCCATAGTAGCCAATGTGTGTCCCATCTTGCATGAACTGCCATTTAGAGGAAACCTTGAGGTGTGAGTTTATTGGCCAGGGAATTATCTCTACAGTTCCTTCTTCTATATAAAACTTCAAGACTTTCTCCATCAGATGGCTGCAGTTGTTCTTATAGATCACCACTTTCTGTGCTCCAAGAATCTTGTACATTTCCAGACTCTGTATGAACTGCAAGACATTGTTGTAGTTTCCAAACATGGCAGAGATGCACACGGTGAAGTCAACAGAAAAGGGCTCAGCCTTGCGGTTTTTAATTTCAAACCTTGGCAGCTGGTCAATATTTCCATGTGCAAACGGATGAATTGATCCATGTGTTGGATCACAGTTTTCAGGTTCCAAACAAACTATATCTGCTGCACCATAAGGGAATCCAAATCTATCTGAGTGAATATCAATTTTTGCATTTGATACATAGATCTTTCCATTGGGCTGACAGCAGAACCAGCAGTATAGCTGTTTCACATCTTCATGGTGAACAATCCCAATCACACGAGTCACTTTGCTTTCTCTGTCATCAAAGTATGGGGATATAATAAAAGTCTTGTTATCTTTTAATGGCGTTATTGTGCTATTGGCAATTTCCCCTCTACATTTGCTACCTTCTTGAATTACTTTTGGCTGATGAGAAAGTCTCTGCAACCTAAGATAAGAAACTGTGACCATCGAAGTTAAAGTAATAATGCACACAGCAGCAGCAGCAAAGTAAGATTTTTTCCTGCCACACAACATTCTTAATTTATCTAAAGGTGGATGTAAATTTCTTTGTCCTTGTACTTTATGTTGCCGCATCTGCAGAAGAGAAAATACGTATTGTACGAGATAATATTGACTCACGATCATTGCTCAAGAACTTCACAAACAAGATGGGGGTAAATCTGTATCACTGTACACTGACTTAATCAGAGACTCAGCTACTGTGCTTTTATGTAAAATCAGCCAGAACACACCTTTAATGGTATGGATGATACTGCATGTGACACTCTGAATGCCTCCATTTGTCAGATGTGTGGAGCAATTTCTGTACATGGGGGGGTCCCTAGGAGAATATAACAGAGGTATATATACAGCAGCAAAAGGATTAATTATTAATCATTACTATTAATCAGTATTTTCTATAATCCAAAGTTTAGAATATCCAATTTAATAATTAGGCAGTAATTCCTAAAGCAAATTAAAACTTTTGTTTCCCCTACAGTGTATATTATGTAAAAAAACCCCTTTCAACCAGACTTCTCACAGACAAGCAAGAGGCTGATATATAAATCAAATGTATATAGAATGAATCAAATAAACATACTAGTTGGGGATTGCACACAATGGTTCAGATATAATTGCTAATTTATAAATTTCCTAATTTGCAGTTCACCACAGATGAGGCAATACATACAGAGGAAGGTCAATTAATACAATCCAGCAGTAGACAGGTGAAATCTATGCAGGTATTAAACTTAGTTAGCAGCTCTACCCTACTTAGTACTGTATAAGGCACGGTTTGCAGGAATGGTCACCACATATTAATTCTTGATGGAGATAAGGGCCCCTTCACACTGCTTTAATGCTGGCTCAGCTCCTGGAACATGTTGGGGGGCAGTTCTTACACTCCTGCTGCTGCAGAAAGAGACAGGTAGCCCTGAGTACCTGCATGGCCTCAGTCTTGAACAAGTGTTAACGCCCAGGCGGGAGCTCAAGGCATTCTCAAGCAGTAATTTCTGCAAGTGGAGCTCAGATTGAAGTTTTGTCTACAAATTCATCTTTAGGCATTGAGATATGATCCATAAACAGTAAAGTGACAGCAATTCTCTTCAAGGGCCTGCTTGTATTACAAGAATCTTTGGAAAAAGAGTGTCCCAGATTAATCAAATTCATACCAGATCAGAAAACTGGACTGGAAGAAGAGTTTCCCCAGCTGCCAGCAAGAAGTGTGGGGTAAAATGCCAAGATGAAATAAAGTGATGCTGTTGCACAGGATGAAGAAAATGTTTCTAGTAGGCAAAAAATAATCGTCCATGCCTGCAGAATAATGTAAAATATTTTCACAATTGCTCTTTCGTGAGAAAGCAAAGTAAGGAGAACTACAATCACAATATACTCCTTAAAATGCCTCATTTGCCAAGGGTGATGATTTACATCAGCCTTTACCAGCTACCGAGAAACTGGTAACAGTCTGGGCAGTCTGTAACAGACTGGAACAGTCACAGGGCACCAGAAATCTCAGTGTATCCCACTAGGCACAAAGTAGAGAAGGAACAGCAGAAAGCATTGACTGCTCTATCTCTGAAATAGAGAGTTTCCCCAGAAGTCCTTACAATTAGGATCAGAACTGTAAAGACATGCTAAAAGTCTGCTACCGTCATATGAATTTCAGCTGGAGATTTGTGAGTGAAAACAACTCAAACTTTCTGTCTTTCTATGAAACATTCTAAAGTACAAAAAGTTACCCCCAAGCATTCTCATTATAAGGATGTTATATAAATTAGCATTCTTGCAACATAGAGGTCACATTTCCTTAGTCTTATCTATTTATGACTTAAAAATATTGTTCGGTCTTACAGAATAAATAGTTTTTAACTAAAGAAATATCAAAACATGTCAACATCAAATAACAGAATCAATTTATTACCTGCTTTCTTCTTCTGCTTTTGCTAGCAGATAATAAACAAGAAGATATACATCCTTTCAACTGTTTTAAACAGTGAATGCTAGAAAGGAAAAAGTACCTTTTAAAGCAGATAGCTGAGTGAAGTTCTGTTCAGTCCTCCATTTGTTTTTTTTTTTTTGCTAAGGTACTTTGCTGAGATGATCTACCAATTGTTTATTTTAAACAGATAAAAACTTAAATATTTTTAAGATAAATTGCAAGTATTGTTCAATGCAGAACAATACTGAGGGAAAAATACTGGTACAACACCTAAGTCAGTTATGGACACGTATTTCAGATAGCTGGTGCTCTGTTAACGTCAGTAACAGCAGCCACACCTACAAGAAAAACAAGTTTTCCTTCTCTTGAGCAATGCATACAGCTGCACCGCAAGAACTTAATTTAAATTACAAGGAAGTGTGGACTTGTTGAAGCAAGTCAAACATAGGTGATTTTCTTAAGGCTACTCAAGTTTCCTTCTGGAAATTAATCTTTCGTGTCGAAATATCCTCAGTTCCCACATGTACTTAAAAAGAACCAGAAAAATATACCATATATCTGTATTTCTCGGACAATCATTTTTTTCCTAACACACTGTAGGCCTACTTCAAATAGTTGAATACAGATCCTGTGAGGACCTGTGAGAGAGTGCTGAAACAGCAGCAGGTTCTAGAAGCAGAGAAAAAGAGCAAACTCTAGAGCTCAAGATATACCAGAACACAGAATCTTAAAGAAAAGAAATACACAGTTATTTAAGGAGTGAAAATCATGTTTTCCTCAACACTACTCATTAATTTTTGACCTCCTTAAATTAACAGCACAGATATACAGTCAGAAAATACATTAAGTAAGTCAGTGTAATTAGGAGCATTCCATTTCTTTACTATAGAGAGCACTTGGCAAATTTTAACTTCAAAAGTATGCTTTCAGCATATTTAAAAGGGTTTCTTTTATAAAAACAATAATAATTAAGTCCAATTTTGTATTTTTTAATTCCAATTAATATGCAAGCAGAACATGATGCAAATTATACAGATTTGTTTTAATGCTAAATTTAGCTAATGGTATCAATGGCCACTTTGCAGTATTCCCCCTAAACAGACTTTGTTTCTCCCCACTGCCCTGACACACTGCAGTGGTATCACCTCCCAGCCTTTGTATTTGTTACTGTTTCATTTAACAAGACACTCTGTTCTAAAACTCAGAAGAAACACTCTTCCTTTAGAAGTCACTTCTGGGTGCTTGGCCCAGGTTCAATTAATCTCTAATATAGGAGACTAGAAATCTCTGTTACCTTGTCCATTTGCGCATGACAAGTAACAAGCCCTCATCATTGTTGGAAATGTTCTTTCTTAACACATGCCAGGATTACATTTTTTGAAGGTGCATCACATTGCACAGACACATCTGAGCTTGTCATCAGCCAATGATTAATACATCTGCCCAGTTTGTCAGCCAAGTGCAGTTACACAATGTGTTTTCTTCTGTGGCAAGGTCATAATAAAGAGCTCTTGTCACGGTTATGATCACAGAATGGCTTGGGTTGCACAGGACTTCTAAATATCATCTACTTCCAGTCCCCCTGCTGTAGGCAGGGGCATATTTCAGTAGATCAGGCTGCTCAAATTAATCACATTTCTCCTTATTTCTTTTGTCATAGTCCCTCTAAAATTTTCTCTCAAAACTTGTATGGGACCAAGAATGCACCTACAAACTTTCAGATATTTAAATCATCTTTTTTTTCCCTTCCTAAACCAAGGAATCACTCATGCTTTAGCCACATTGTACCACTATGCTCACGACACATTTATTAAACTCCCATTATAGGTTCTTTCAATAGCTTGTCTGTCTTAGAATTTTGAAACGGAAATTTTTCTGTATTGCCTTCCAACTGGATTTTGTTTTTACCTTTACTGTACAGCTTCTATTTCCAGAACTTTTTTTCCATCATCTGTCTTTAACCCTCCACAACTGACACTGTCCTTACTAAAAGGTGGAACCAAGTGCTAATTTAGTTCAAGAGCCATTTCTTGGTAATTGTTTGTCTTCCTCACATGCTCTCTGCATTGTGGCCTTCCTTTGTAACTTGTTTTCTTTGCATCAAAACAGCTGAAGAAACTTTTAAGATGCTCATTTCAGTATCTTCACAAAGTTTACACTGAGTGAAATTTTTGATAACTCTCAGGTTATTACTTTATCTCCCAATCCAGGGTAAGGATAGGGGGCAACTGATAAGAGGTGATTGCAGAGTTTCAGTTGCTAATACGAAGTACTAGATTCAGTAGTACAGAAATAATGAACAGCCTAAGCCTTGGTTTATGCAGGGTCTAAATAAAAACCCACAACTAACAAACAGCATTAGTAGCTTATTATTTTTGAAAAAAGTTATTCTCTATCCTCTACTTTATGATTTCTGTCAAAAGTAACAAGACAAACCACTGTTGCTAAATAAAAATTCCCAATCATTTACCATCTTTATCTAAATTGTCTGTTGCTAATATTTTGATAGATTATATTTTTCAGAAAGACTCTTTGACACACCGGTATCCTTCCTCTCTTGTATAATCCACAGTCAAAAGCATATTGTTTGAAGGATTAAACTGAAGGCAGTATTATTCCACTCCTCATAAAATACTGTTTTAAAAAAATTTAAACTGGCCATTTCTATTCTAAATACAAAGATGGTAAGCCAGACCAATATACAGTGTTACCATATACTTATTTTGTGCCATTAGAACTAACAAACCACACAATTCCCTGTACAGTCATAAACTTCTCCATTATAATCTGCTGTGCATACCTAAGCAAACTCCTCCTATTGTAAACAATTAGACTTTGTGTCCTTTGGAAAAAAACTAAATCACGCAAAATCAAAATTGCATGACATTTAAAAGATTGTTATGTTAACTTTTTGTCTTTCACACTGTACTTTTTTTAGCTGGACCAGAGTTAATTTTCTCCACAGTAGCCAGGAGGGTGCTGTGTTTGGTGACCAAACTGAGTGTTTCAAACACCTTGATGTTTAACTATCTCTAAGCAGTGCCCACACAGCATCAAGGCCATCTCTGTTTCTCGTGGCTCCTGTCCCAGAAACAGGGCAGCACAAGAAGTTCGCTGGGGTTACAGCTGACCAAACTGACACAAGGCCCTTCCCACAGCACGATGCCATGCTCAGCAATCAAAGCTGGGGAGAGAAGGAGGAGACATGTGACGTGGCTAAGTTACCATCAGACCCGATGAAGCCCTGCTTTCCTGGAAATGGGTCGAAACGTGCCTGCTAAGGGGACATAATGAATAGATTCCATATTTTGCTTTGCTTGTGCACACAGCTGTGCTTTACCTCTTACACTCTTTATCTCAACCCATTAATTTTTCCACACTGGCCCTTCTGATTCTCTCCCCATTCCACTGCAAGGGGAAGGGTGAGCAACTGAGCTGCCTACCAGGATTAACCCACACCACAAACACTGGAACTACTCTTTGGAGCAGTTATGCATGCTTTAAATCCAAGATTAAAGTCCGCGCTTGGCATGTGTTCAGACGGAGACTCAAAAAGCCTGATTTGGACAATTAATCTGTACCTTTAACTTACCATTGAGTGGTTAGCACCAGTACCGTAAAATAATGCTACAGCTGACGACCATCTGATTTTACATTTCTTGAATGGAAATAAACTCCCGAGTCCGTCGCGCCTCTCCTGCGAGCGACGCCAGCTACAAGAACCCGAGCGCTCGTTCTCGTCACCAGCCGCCCGGCGAGGCGGCGCCGGCTGCGGCCAGGGAGACGCCGTAAGTCCCCGCCCAGGCCGTGCCTCAGGCAGGGCCCCCGCCCGCCCCGGTCCGGGTGGGGCCGTTCGCATCCGCCCCCACAGGGCGCGCCCAGGAGGGCGGCTCGCGGTACTAAGCCGGGCTGCTGTCTCCGCACGGATCGTTGGGCACGGCACCGGCAGTGGGCGAGCAGCCCCGGCCAGCGGCCCAGCGGAGCACGGCCTCAGAAGGCCCATCCGGCGGGGCGTGGGGAGTCGGCCGGGGGCGGCGGGAAGTCCGGGTCGGGCGGTGGCCTCACCGCTGCGCCTCTGGCCGCGCCCGTTACCGCCCCGGGTCCCTGGAACATTGGGGGGCGAGGCCCCAGGCAAGACGCGGCGGCCAGCCCCGGAGTGATTCCGCGCCGGCGGAGCATTTCGAGGAGCAGGGTCTGGCCAGGCCGCGGCGGCCCCGGGCGGGCCGTGTGCCGGGGAGACGCATGCCTGGAATGAGAGGCATAGACAGCCCAGGTGCAGGAGAAGGACCTCAGTAGTGCCGAACCGTGCTCGGGGAGGTCTCCGGACTCGACCCCGACGTTGAACTGTCTCTTCGTCACATTAACTTGTGTCAAATGGAGAAACACAAGCTAAGCATTATATTTTCAAAATCCGAATCAATCTTCACAAAAGTACTGGGAAATTTGATAATTGCACAATGACAAAATCCAGTAGTTTACAGGAGTCCTGTCTACTTTTGGAGACGGACCTGATAGCTGAATCATTCCTACAACTAAATACAATGCTGGCATTTGAAGTTCTATGGTAGGATATGTTTTTCTAGTGTCAAAGGCCATAAGCTACAGACCCTTTTTTTTCCTGTGAGTATTAGAGAACTTAAACATACAATGCATTTATTGCTGGGGAGAAGGTAGCATTAAATGCCTATTGCAACAACTTTACATTTCATTATTACACTTCAAATTGCAGCATACCCAACACAGTTCACTTTGAAAGCCAAAGGTGTATGTCCAAAGGGGATGCATCCTTGGTAAGAGCTATGTCACACCAGTTTCCTGCAAAGACATATAACAGTGTCATCAGGTACTTCCCAATCATGTGTAAATATCATTAGAATACAGCAGACTGAAGCCTCAAACACTGTTTCTGAACCAAATAATTTTTTCAATTTTGAAAATCTCTTGCCTGGATACATTGATTCAGTTCACATTATCAACTGCATATATAGTCATGCAGTACATAAAAGGGCTGCTTTCCTAAATCACTGCAAAATGTAACATGATCTTTAATCAATCTCCTCTGCCTCCCCCCAGTAAGGGTGGCTCTCCACTTTCCCTCCTTCAAACTGAGGTTTAACTTCACTTTTGAACTTACAGTATGGTTTGAGATAGCACCTTGTTAACATTCATGATTAATGATGAGTTGTATCTCCACAGGATTGTATCCCTGACAAGGGATTCTCTGGGAAGGTCTCTTTGAAGGGGCTTCCGACAGTGATAAATGAGGGCAACATCCATGGGAACATTCACACTGTCCCCATAGGCATGTAGGACAGAGTGGACTGAAGTCTGAATCACTTTTTGTGGATCAACTATCATCTTCCTGGGATTGAAAACATCTTTCCTGTCAGGCTCTCTGTGAACATGCTGTAATATGTTAACACCTGGCACAGTATTCCAGGACGAGATGTTGAACATGTGAGTAGAGATGGTTTCTGGGAAGATGTGGTTCTCAAAGAGGAAAATGCCAGTCCCTGGGTTTTGTTCCTGAAGGCTGCTCATCATTGTTTTCCAGTTTGGATGCTTAAGGGGAAGAATTATTTCATCAGCATCATTAAGAACCACAAACTTGCTCCTTTGCATGTTACGGTATATACAGTCATTTAGAGCTGTGATTTGTCCATAGTAGCCAATGTCTTTTGCATCCATAGAGAAGTGCCATTTAGAGGAAACCTTGAGGTGTGAGTTTATTGGCCAGGGAATTATCTCTACAGTTCCTTCTTCTATATAAAACTTCAAGACTTTCTCCATCAGATGGCTGCAGTTGTTCTTATAGATCACCACTTTCTGTGCTCCAAGAATCTTGTACATTTCCAGACTCTGTATGAACTGCAAGACATTGTTGTAGTTTCCAAACATGGCAGAGATGCACACGGTGAAGTCAACAGAAAAGGGCTCAGCCTTGCGGTTTTTAATTTCAAACCTTGGCAGCTGGTCAATATTTCCATGTGCAAACGGATGAATTGATACATGTGTTGGATCACAGTTTTCAGGTTCCAAACAAACTATATCTGCTGCACCATAAGGGAATCCAAATCTATCTGAGTGAATATCAATTTTTGCATTTGATACATAGATCTTTCCATTGGGCTGACAGCAGAACCAGCAGTATAGCTGTTTCACATCTTCATGGTGAACAATCCCAATCACACGAGTCACTTTGCTTTCTCTGTCATCAAAGTATGGGGATATAATAAAAGTCTTGTTATCTTTTAATGGTGTTATTGCATTTCGAGCAATTTTCCCCCTACAAAGGTGACCTGTTGGACTGGCAGTTGCTGTCTGGGGGAAGATCTTTGTAGTTATTCTATTTGGTAGTCGAAGATCTTTCCAATAGCAGATTAAAATGCTTGTAAAAATAAGAATACATGCAACAATAGCACAAATATGTTTTTTTCCACAGTGTATCATTGCTGAATTTTACAATTTGCAAATTAACAGACTTTTATACTCAGTCTTCAATTCACTTTCTCTAAAACAAAACAAAAACACAAAAAATGCACTTTTAGTGATTTGCCTAAAGGGAGTAATGTTTTGTATTGACCTTTCTCTCTTAAATACAATTGTTACTGTTTTGATACTTCAAAATCTAGTATGAATAGCTGACTTTTCATAAAGGTTTGGAAAAGACATTCTCTTACACCTCCTCATTCTGAGCTTTGTTATATTTTAGTCTACAATTGGGCTCAGTGCAGCAGGTTCAGCTGTTTTCGTATACAGTAATGGTAATATAGTGTAATTTGAATCACTTTTAGGCCTAGAAGAAACTTCACGCTAAAGAGAACCCACCTACTTTATCATTGGATGTTCTGAGAAGTTTGTAAAACTACAGAATTATCTTTTCACCTCTTCTTCCTAGAAAGGTGCTGTGAACGCAAACTGCATTCTTTTCCATTGTGTAGGAGTGCTCCTGTCACAGTCTCTCAGTGTCCTGATTACCAAGTCACAAAGAAAATGTTTTCAGAGCCTAGTGTGTTTTAGAGCCTATTAGGATTCTATGGTATTCAACACTGGGATCTTTTCATTTGATAAGGTGACTGAGATTACCTAAGTGTAAACTGCTTTTGCCACTGAAGATGCTAAGTCTCAGACCACAGTTCTAAATTGGCAGTTGATTTCAGCAGGACTAAGAAGGTGATCTTGGAGGCGCTGCTGGACAAGATGCTTGACGTGACCTGACAATGCACTTGCAGCCCAGAAGGCCTGTGTCCTAGACTGAATCTAAAGAAGATTCTCCCCCTCTGCTCTGCTCTCATGAAACCCCACCTGGAGCACTGCATCCAGCTCTGGGGTCCTCAGCATAAAAAGGATGTGAACCTGCTCAAGTGAGTCCAGGCAATTCCATGAAGATACTCTGAGGGCTGGAGCACCTCTGCTACAGAGTTGAGTTTTCACCTAGAGACAAGGCGGCTCTGGGGAGAACTTACAGCATTTCAAAGTGCCTTAAGGGGCTTCAAGAGAGCTGGAGAGGCACTTCAGACAAGGGCCAGAGGGACAGGACAAGAGGGAATGGCTTCCTACTGAGAGGGCAGGGTTAGATGGGATATTGGGAAGTGATGGGACATGGCTGTGAGGGTGGAGAGGCTCTGGCACAGGTTGCCCAGAGAAGCTGTGGCTGCCGCATCCCTGCAAGTGTCCAAGGCCAGGTAGGACGTGGCTTGGAGCAACCTGGTCTAATAGAAGGTGTCCTTGCTCATGGCAGTGGGTGGAACAAGATGACTTTTAAGGGCCTTCCAATCCAAACCACTCTATGATTCTATGAAACCTTGTTAGTTCTACTAGCGCTGTGGGTGTGATACAATGTGGCATGTACAACAATGTATCAGAATCATTAACAGTTGTATATACCATCAATAGGTGTTTTGTCCTCCCCTTGAAAATCCAAGATGTTGTTCAACTGTTCTTTTCCATTCTCTTGGCGTCAAAGGATGGAAGAAGTTACTCTGAATGATGTAAAAATTCCTTCTCTAAAGTTAAAATTTGTGTTGCTCTCTGCAAATTGTCATGTGCAGAATAGGCTTTCTATATGCTCACAAACTTTAATGTTACTCAGGTCTGAAGATGTATTTCCATCTGCTTTAAATACTTCTAACATGGCCTCCTCAATTAACCAGTAAAACTCAAATATGCATTTTGTCATTAGCTCACTAGTAGCTAGGTAGGACCTTGAGAGTGGTATGTGCCTAGAAAAGATACAATATATTTAAAAGTAGGACTGCATCATCAGCTATCAGCTTGCACTGAAATACCCTATTTTTGGATGGAAACCATTTACAATTAGTCACATACTGTTTAGTAGAAAAGTAAGAGAAAGAATATTTAAGAGTGTGTTTGTTGGTTGTTTGTTTTTTTTTCCCCATAAGAGTATTAATTAGGAAGCAAGATTGAAAAATGCTTCCTGAAAACTTCAGGGAAAAAATATACAAAAAGAAGCCAACAACAACACAGAAAGTCAGTTCAAGATCTAGTTCTTGTTTTTTCACCCACAATTGCTTTCCTTTTTTTTTTTTTTTTTTTTTTTTTTTTTCCCACTCTCCCCCCTTTGGAAGTAATATTTATCTGTCAGTGTTCTCTTTGAAGAAATAACAGAATTCTTTGTAGAGATTCAACAGAATTCTTAGCAGAGACAGGATTAGGTTTGAAGGTTGAGAGACACATAACAAGGACAGAGGACAAGAGCTTCAATGAAGTTGTAAAAGTACAGTAGTTTCTGGATCCAGTCTTCCCATCCAAGAGAAAACAAAGGGACCGAGGAAGGTAGAGAAAAACAGAGCATCGTGATAGAAACTTTTCTGTGGAGGATGATTTACTGCATAGGAGATGGGACAAATTTACTAAAGGGGGAGATGAAACAAAGTGATAATAAAAGTTCTAATGTCTGTCATGATTTTTTGCAGAAATACAAGATCCAGGTTTGTTCGTTTCCTTGTTTTATACAGATGCTAAGTGCAAAAAATCATTACACTATTCTGGTGAAATATGT